TTGAAACCACTGATAAGACAGAAATATTTGGTGTTAAATGTTTAAAATATATCTTTTATTTACCTGTTTTGTTTGTCTCTCTAAGACCTCAGCTTTTAACCATGTTTCAACTTCTTCAATTTTCTTTTTGTGCACGGCAAGTTCATGCTAAAAATTTCAAGTTTAAAATAAAACATTTTAACTCAAGGGTTTTTGGTACATCAGTGCAGATTAAATTAAACATTTTAAAACTAGCAAACAATTAACATGACAAAAAAAACTGATTACACTTAACAACTGATGCCATCATTTGGAAATCTGAGTAGGTTTGGATTATAAAATTTAAAAAAATCCTTTAATATATTTTGGGAAGGGAATAAATAGCACGGGGTCTTACATTTAGCAATAAATAAATAAATGAATAAAATAAACAGATTAATTCTACATTCGTGTTAAATTTGATGTAAGACTACCAATGGTACCACTTCAGAATGACTGTTGAGAAAACTCTGAGCTTTGGTATATAAAATAAAAACCCTGAAATTATTGTTTTTTCCAAATCATTTAGCAAGATTTTATGAATAACAACCGGAAAATGCACATCCTTCTCCTTCCTGAAATAAAACTATGTTTGTTTGCTACTTAGTACCTGAGTTTCTGGCTTGTATTTATCCACCCATGGTTCATTTTCAGACAGGTAGTTCTTTGAGTTTTCTAGAGCATATATCTGTTCTGAGGAAGACAGTGTTGCTCTTTTCCGACTTGAAATGAGCTACTTTCTAATGTGGAAGGCACATTCTTTCTTCTATGACTTGGGTTATTCACACTGAATGATGTGGCAGTAATAGCAGGGATGCTTGTATTCTCTGAAAAGTCATCAAATGATGGGTCTACCCAATCTGTTACCTGAAAAAAAAATCACATAAATACTATTACATTTATTGCATCTATTCCCTACATAATTTAAGTAGTCTGTTTTAAAAAATGTTTATTTGCAATCTATAAAATAAAAATCTCAAAAGGTAGCTGTTTAAATAAAACTGATTCCAGCCCTGACAGGTGTAGCTCAGTGGATTGAGCGTGGGCCTATGAACCAGAGGATCACTGTTCTATTCCCAGTCATGGCACATGCCTAAGTTGCAGGCCAGTTCCCGGCAAGGGACGCACGAGAGGCAACCATACATTCATATTTCTTTCCCTCTCTCCTTCCCTTCCCCTCTACAGATAAATAAATAAAATCTTAAGAAAAGTAAAAACTAAAAAAATAAAACTGATTCCTGGCTCAGTTAGTTAGACCATTGACCCATGCACCAAATAAATTGTGGATTCGATCCCCAGTAGGGGCACATACAGGAGGCAACTGACAGATGTCTCTCTCACTCGCTCTCTAAAAATCAATTTAAAAAACCATATCCTTCGGTGAGAATAAAAAAGAAGAAAACTGATTCCATATGTATTAGTTATTTTTGTACTTTACAGTAAGTTGAAGTGCATACTTGTCTACTTTACCATGGTAATGAATACCATATAAAGGAATATAGAATACAAATTTAATTGTTTTTATTACTGTAATCTTCCCAGGATAGAGAGTAGTCTGATTATTTTAAACTCATGTAGGACTGAAACATAAATATTTAAAGTACCTTTGAAAAAAAAGGAAAACAAAACCAAGAAACATTACTTTAAGCATGTACAACAGTGAGAGGAGTAATACTTCCATGTCAACCAGTTAACACATTACACTTCATACATCAAAACAATCCCTATTAACAATTAAGACTTAGTGAGGATATAATTTAAGAATCCTGATACTATGAGTAATTTGTAATTATGTCTTGATTATATTCACTCCTCTTTTAAGGACAGAGAGTTAGAAATGTTATCAATCATTGATGAAGAAATGAAATCTCTGGGGAAAAAAATTCAGTTATAGCTACCTACTTCATTTCCTCCTCTTCAAAAGACTGTCACTATTACTATAATTTTGGTCTCTTTCCTTTAGTTTTAAGAGTACATACAAATTATGTTATAGTAATCCTTTTGATAGGAATCCTGATCTACATTTTATGGCTTTGATAGGAATCCTGATCTACATTTTATGGCTTTATTTCTGACATAAATGTAGACTACCGTTTACTGAAAAAAAGACAGAGAGAAACAGCAAATTTAAATCATTTACTTAAGGTCAAGGATAAAGCAGTTATGCCTGGTATAGCTCAGTGTACTGAGCATTTGAAGAACAGAGGGTCACTGGTTAGATTCCTTGGCATGGCACATGCCTGAGGTGCTGGCCAGGTGCCCAGTTGGGTGTATTCGAGAGGCAACTGATAAATGTTTCTCTCTTTCTCTCTTTCTTCCTCCCTTCACCTGTCTCTAAAAAATAAAGTTTAGGCCTGACTGGTATAGCTCAGTGGATTGAATGCAGGTCTGTGAACCAAAGGGTCATGGCTCGATTCCCAGTCAGGGCACATGTCTGGATTGTAGACCAGGTCCTCAGCAAGGGGTGCACAAGAGGCAACCACACACTGATATTTCTCTTTCTCCTTCCCTTCCCCACTCTCTGAAAATAAATAAAATCTAAAAAGTAAAAAAAAAAAAAAAAAAAAGAGTTTTAATTTAAACGTATCAACCACTAGGAAAACAGCTCTTTGAGTTTGAGCATGATACTGTCTGACCTTCAACCTACTTTGCCTCCTAACCTTGCTGAAAACTAGTTCACTGAACCTTAGGACTTCTAAGAGGCAGGGCTTGTTGTTAAAGTTGAACACCACTACAACTCATACTTTTCTTCTACTGCTCTTCTGTGAATAGCATAGTAAATATGGTTTCAAAATTAAGGTTGCACTTTCAGTGTACAGTTAACAACATATTATGAGACTTTTTTAGATCACTAATTACAACAGATATTGGGTACCATTACACTGATAGCAGTAAAAAATTAAGAACATGTACAAAAATGTAAATCTTTTTCGGCAATTGTATGACCATTTTAGTGTATCATACCTTTGTGGAAGACACCTTTCGTCTAAGAAAAGCTTTTGACATTATAAACTTTAATAGTTCCGATCCATAGCATACAACCCGTAGTATATTAAAGTATAATTCACCTAGGAAACAAAAAGAAAAAATTCTCAATTAAGAAAAAACAGATCCGAACCAGGTAGCTCAGTGGGTTAGAGGATCACCCTAATAGCCAAGGTTGTGGGTCTCATCTCCCATAAGGGCACATAGACGTATCAACCAATAAATGCACAACTAAGTGGAACAACAAACCGGTGTTTCAAGCTCTTAAATCAATTTTAGAAAAATTTTAAGAAAATAACGGCGAGGATAGCAATTAATATATATGATATAATCAAGAGCATAACGCAAATGCTCAAGATCAGTGAGAAAGAACATACTAAACATAGATGCAAATATCAAAATGCTAAAATAAATTTTCATTTTAATGACTATAACCTCTGTCAAATAATATTATTCATGGTGCTATAAAGTACTTCATATGAACTCAATAATTAGAGAAGAGAAAAACCACATATTCTGGACCTACCGTTATTAAGAAAAATTAGACAACATTATCTGTGCTGTTTTTAAATGGAAATTAAAATTTCCTTGTTTTAAATCAGGTGAAGTTTTTCATTGCCAAAGTTTTTTTTTTTAAACACCTGTACATAATGAATTCAAATTTATCACTCACGTTGGACAAAATTTAAATCTTACTGTAAATATTTCCTACAACTGGCTTCCTTATTTAAACATATTAGGAAGTTTTTGACAGCACTATTTTCTGACCTTCAAAATTCTTCAGTGTTTAAACAAACTAGTAAATTCACCAATTTTAAGTTAGCCAGAGGGGACGGTCTATAAACATAAATTGGAAGGTACATTGGAATCTTACAGTTTGGAGGAACACATAACATGTAAATACTTCCAAACACTAGAAAATAAATCGTACACACACAAATCGTTCACGATTAAAGAAGTCTTTGTTTTGCAGTTTCAAAGAGGTACATGGGTGGAAAAAAACACCTATTTGAGTAAATATAACTGGCAGATCAAAATGATAGACTCAGGCTGTTGTTAGGGTAAAAACTCCAAATCATTCTTTGACAATGACAATTAGCTCCTTTATAAAGCAGGTAACTGCTCCTAATGATGCCACGTTCGGAAATGAGACGTCACAGGTAGAAAAGAACTTCGAGAGTATTTCTAGCAGACCCGCACTACCCTACACACTGCGCAGGATATAATAAGCTCAGAGAGTGGTGCAAGCGAGGCGGCTAATCAGCAGACAGCCGAGATAGGCTCACGTGCCTCGGCTCCAGGGTAGTGGTCGGCGCCCCCACCCTTCTAATTTTCAAATGACAGGGGTAAGTGGAGAGGAGGAGCAATGAGATTCCAGGAAGACCTGCACGCAGAAAGGAACTCACGTCACATGGACAGATTTACACACAACAGCTGCAACCGCGGTGGCCTTACTAGTCGGGAGCTGCATGCCCTCGTGGGCGGAGAAAACCAGAGGAGCTCGGGCACTGCTCCAGGTGAAAGGGCAGCCACCCGGCCCTACCTGGACTCACAGCAGAGCTATGCCGAGGTCCCACCCACCGGGGACTTTCCACGCTCTAGGGCGCTTCTGCGACACAGCCTGAAGGGCGGGGGCAGCCAAAAGGCAGGGTGACTTAGGCATCCAGCGCATTGCCTGACTCGAATGTGGTTACCACTCCATTTCCCTGCCTCGACTGTGCAATGAAAGTGAGTCAGAGTAGGTCCTGTAACCGTAACAAAGGGTTGGTGGCCGGAAAGCGAATATGGGTGGAGAGCAGCGCGCAGGGCCCCGGGGGCCAAAGGCGCTTGCGGCCTGTCCCAACCTGCCCCTTCCGGCCTTTTCCGGTTGTCTTAAGAGCCTTTACACCTAGTTCTGCAGAGCCGTCGCCGTTAGGACCATGTTACTTCCGAACATTCTTCTCACCGGTTAGGGCGCGCGCCGTGACACGGAGGGGATGGACAGTGGGTCGGGTCTAGATGCTAGTTCTCTGGAGCCTCGGCGTCCAAACAGGGAACGCCCTTAGTTTAGTTCCAAGTTTGTGGAGGGCGTGGCCTAGCAATTGTCAGGTCCCCAGACCTGCCCTCGTGATCCAGGAAGGGGGGGGGGGGGCGGGGCTGCAGAGCGTCTGTCTGGATCCCGGAGATTGCTCACGAGGTGGTGAGGGGTAAACCTGCCCAGCTCCCCTTTCTGGCAAGCTGACTAATCTCTCTAAACCCGGTTTTTGTTTGGTGGATGTTGACTGTTAATTTTGTTTGGCTGGGTTGTCTTTGGGTTTTAGAGAGGTCACATTAGTAGGTCTGTGACTGATGGATGTTTAGTTTTGAGGCCTTAGTGGGCGGCCTTTCATTTTCCCTTTGTATCTGAGAGTCAGCTTTGGGTAAGAGTTCGGGTGTTTGTGTTGTATGGTGATTACTTTGCTATGTTTGTTTGCTGAGTTAGCATCAGAGACTGTTTTTCTTCCAAGAAGAAAACAAGGCTATTTTCTGAGTACTCCTGGTCGTTTCTCGTACAGACATGTGAAGTTCCCGCGAAGGCCCTTTCGGTTCTTTGGATCCATACTCGGAGGAGCCTGTTACATGTGAGGAGTACTAAAATGCTACATAACGGAGATGATATTTATTGGGGGAAGGGAGCTATAGTTTTTATTGTTTAAAAAAACATAAGCTTGTTGGCCGCGCACAATTTTTATGTGTCTGAGAGCTGCAAATTAATCTCAACAGATTAGTATTTAGCCTTTAAGACGCCTTAAGGGGAAAATTGTACAACATCCAAATTGATTGAGGTAGTCAGTATCTTGGGGTTTTTTTATTTTTTAAATTTCATTTATTGTACGATAGAAGGCATAGTGTCAAAGATTTGTATGGTGCAACATGAGCCGCTATTGTATTGTAAAACAGTTGTATTGAAAACTTGGTGTATTATACAGAAACTTCAGGTGGACGTTATTGTCTTGTATATAGAGATTTGATTTATTCTTGTTATCTTGGGTTGTAATGATTGAATTTTATTCAGTGGCATTAAATTTGAACAGCTGAAAATTATGCATTTGATTATCTTGAAATCCAGTAGATATTAAAAAGGGAAAATGAAGAACTGTGTAGTACCACTGTTCGGTAACAGTGTGCCATGGATGTACAAGGGAATGAATGTCTAGTGTGTGTACATATGTATATATGCATGTTATATATTAGTACATACACATACGCAGAATGCTGTGGCAGGTACATATGTGCACAAACATGCATGCATAGGACTTCAAGAATCTTGTTCATAAGGGAGACTATAGGGACCATTAGAGGAAATGAGATTTGTTTTTCATAAACTTTTCAGTTGTTCAGAAATATTAAGAAGGGCAGGTAGGTGGCCAAATTCTAATAATGATTTCATGAACAATAATTTCTGTTGCTTGTCTTATAGGTACACCAGGGGTCGGAAAAACAACACTAGGCAAAGAACTTGCAGCAAGATCAGAATTGAAATACGTTAATGTGGGTGATTTAGCTCGAGAAGGTAAGGGACATTTTGGTGTTGTTTTTAAAGAGAGAGAGAGAGATAGATAATGGTGTATTAGTACTTATGTGAGAGGGTACAACAAGCAGAGGAAGATTATCATTAAGGAATTTATGCTGTATTGGGGACCTATAATAATAGAAAATAGTCATACCTCAATACTTGTCAACTTCAGAAGTAATCAAACCCTGTACTTATTGCACTTTGATCAGAAAAAATGTTTCCTTACTCGGCGCCTGCTCTGGACTCATTGTACTTGCTAGGACTCGTATGAGTCACGATCCTGACCTGCAAGAGAAAATGTTTTCTTGTTTGGTACTCTCGTCATTTTTGGCATTTTTCACAAGTTCCAGAACAAATTACCGGTAATGATAAGTAGCAAGGTGCCACTGTATTAAATGTCTAAAGTTGTGTCCTAGTTATTTTGACAATTACATTGCCCGCTGATTGGCTAGCAGTTCTTGTGGATAATAATAATTGGGAAGGTTTTCATGAAGAGATTGATTGGACTTAGGAGAGGTAGAATTTGAATATAAGGAAGAGGGAGAATGTTTTGAGATGGGTGAACAGGTAAAGGTTCAGGTGAGGCCAAGTCTGTCTATGGAACTGATTATATTGATCTCACTGCAAAGAAAGAGTATTCTGAACTCAGGTTGTACAACATGATTATCTTATGATAGTTTCTTAGATTAACTTAATAGTTGCATGTCTGCGTGAAATTGCACATATTCTACAATGATACATGTTTTTACTTATTTTACCCTGTTTTCCCCCAGTCTGTATCATTCTCTTAATATGTCTTCACCTTTTTATATTCTATTATGAATGATTTGTACAGGGTAGAAACTCAGGAAATTTAAGTAAAGGGAACTTGAACTATGCCTCATTAAAATTAAAAACATTTAACATTTTAAAAGTTGGAATATTTTTAAAAATATGACGTTTAGAACATTGTTTTAAGTTCCTAGCAGTTGCTACTAAAGTAACTATTTCAGCTTTGATCTAATGTACATGTTTTTTAAAAATAATCTAAAGTCTGATCACCGGATATCATGGAGTCTGGCAAGATGGCTTCCCCCAAGAGCATGCCGAAAGATGCACAGATGATGGCACAAATCCTGAAGGATATGGGGATTACAGAATATGAACCGAGAGTTATAAATCAGATGTTGGAGTTTGCCTTCCGCTATGTGACCACAATTCTAGATGATGCGAAAATTTATTCAAGCCATGCTAAAAAAGCCACTGTTGATGCAGACGATGTGCGATTGGCAATCCAGTGCCGTGCTGACCAGTCTTTCACCTCTCCTCCCCCGAGAGATTTTTTATTAGATATTGCAAGGCAAAGAAATCAAACCCCTTTGCCATTGATCAAACCATATTCGGGCCCTAGATTGCCACCTGACAGATACTGCTTGACTGCTCCAAACTATAGACTTAAGTCTTTACAAAAAAAGGCAGCAACTTCTGCAGGAAGAATAACAGTTCCACGGTTAAGTGTTGGTTCAGTTACTAGCAGACCAAGTACTCCCACACTTGGCACACCAACCCCACAAACCATGTCAGTTTCAACTAAAGTAGGGACTCCAATGTCCCTCACAGGGCAAAGGTTTACGGTACAGATGCCCGCTTCACAGTCCCCAGCTGCTGTGAAAGCATCAATTCCTGCAACATCAGCAGTTCAGAATGTTCTGATTAATCCATCATTAATTGGGTCCAAAAACATTCTTATTACCACCAATATGGTGTCATCACAAAATACTGCCAGTGAATCATCAAATGCATTGAAACGAAAACGTGATGATGATGACGATGATGATGATGATGATGACGACTATGATAATTTGTAATTGAGCTTTGATGCATGTAACATGTATACTTGGTCTTGAATCCACTGTACTAAGATTAAACATGCATGCTGGGCGTTTTCAAGTTGTGTTTTAGAAAACTTAAATAGTATTTAAAGAGTAAATACAGTTACCATAGTTTTTAATTGAGATATATTGTATTTTCTTTAATATAATTCCTAATGCTTTTTCATCAGCCTTTAAGTGTAAGAAATAAAGTTGCTGTTCATCAATTTGATTGTTCTTACTTTGGCAATTACATTTTAGAAGCTATTTTAACCCCCATCACCAACACAAATAATAGTTGTAACAACTTAAGTTGTTGCAGTCTTTACTCATTACCACTAGAGTGTCATCTCTAATGTCTTCAGATGTTTAAATCACAGTGTGATCTCTGGTGTATAAGTCATTTTTAGGGGCCATTCTATCAAACTATTAATGTATAACCATGTTTCCTTTTTGGAGAGAATAGTGGATCCTCATCTGTTTCGATTTATCTTCTTCAACTGCCCAAGTTCTTCCTAGGTCCTCTTTCTCTATCTGTTTGATTATATTTATGAACCCTAATGTGTCTCCCAGTAACTCCCCACTTTAAAAATTTTTTAGCTCTAGCCCGGTAACTAACTTGGTGAGTGTGTCATCCCAATACATGAAGGTTGAGGGTTCAATCCCCAGTCAGGGAACATACAAGAATCAACTAATGAATGAATAAAGTGAACAACAAATTGATGTTTCTCCCTCCCTCCCTTTGTCTCAAATTTAAAAAAAATTTTTTCAGTATCCCTTTTGCAGGCCAGTTCTCTGCATTTTTGCTTGCCACACACACACACACACACACACACACACATATTATTAAGAGAGAAGGGAAGGGAGGGAGAAACAGGGAGAGAAACATCATTGTCTACTTGCCTCTCATGTATCTCCCCCACTGGGGACCTGGCCTGCAACCCAGGCATGGGCCCTGACTGAGAATTGAACTGGCGACCCTTTGGTTCCAAGGCCCACACTCAGTCCACTGAGCTATACTAGCCAGGGCAGCTTGCCATATTCTTGATGTAAGTCACTCCAATGCTTTTATTTTTAATCCAGGTCTGGCATTTAAATTTTAGTTAATGAAACTCAGTTCATTATTTGCTGTTGTACATAGCTAGAAGGTCTTCATTATATACTTATGTGAAATCTGGTTTTCTTTCTTTGCCTGTTGAACTTTACAGTGTCTGGCAAGTGATTTCAGAGTCACAGTAGTCATTTTCAGTCATGTCTGCCAGTTCTCATCTCACCTACTCAGGTTAACATCTAAACTTAATGAAATTGCTATATAATCTACATGAATAGCATTGCGAGGAACAGTAATGCTAGAACCATTGGGTCCTCTCCTATTTGTGTTCACACCATCTGAGCCACTTGTGTGTCCACCTAATGGTGTGTAATCTCAACCATTTTATTGATGACATGAAATTTAATCCTTAGAGGAAAAAGTACGCTTCCTTCATATAATGTCACTTGAAAGATGTCTGGTCTGAATTGACATGGTGTTGGCTGAGGTACTTTGTAAGATTTCTCATAAGGTACCATATTTCTTAATGCTAATTAACTATATCTGAGAATCTCGTTAGACAATATTCTGAGGCATTCAGCTTGGTTTTTTTTTCAAATGGTGATGTAAGGAAATCGTGCAGTCATCTATAAAGTAGTGGTTCTCAGGTCGGGGTGATGATGCCCTTCAGGGGACATTTTTGGTAGTCACAAGTGGGGTTTGGGGGAATTGCTAGTGACATCTGATGTCACAGGGCAGTGATTCTGCTGAACATCCCACAGTTCACACCTTCCACTCCCATAACAGAATCCTCAAGCTCCAAGTGTTAGTGGTAGTTGAGGTTGAGAAGCTCTGCTTTAAATGAGACTTTAAAGAAAAGAAAACTGGCTTTAAATAAATGTCTAAATGGGTGTCTGTAGCCATCCTAATAATCATATCGAATTGCTGTATTACAGTTGGCCCTTGAATAACGGGTTTCAATTGCACGGGTCCCCGCTATACATGGATTTTTTGATTGACATGTGCAGTTCAACTCCATGGTTGGGAATCTGTTTATGTGGAGGGCTGACTAATTGTACATGGATTTTTGAGTTTGTGGGAGGTTAGTCCCCCTAATCCCTCCATTGTTCAAGCACCAAGTGTATTTCTAGAGATCCTTATGTCATTTGGAACCCAGGCAGGAGAAATTAGTTGGGAAGTTAAGGTTAAAACTATCAGGAGTCCTAAACACTGTGTAACTAAGAATGCTTTTATTATCCCTTGTGGGGGAGCTTTGTCTGCAGAGCCCTCTGTCTGCTGCAGATGAGAATAAGTCTACCAAGACATGCTCTGCTTGGCCAGTCTCTCAAAGGAGAAGAGCCAGGAACCTTTTCCTCCATGAGTTTTTATTGGGTTCAGTTTGCACAGGAATACAGGTAAAGCTCATCAATCACTGTCAGGCAGTAAGGATCAAACAATAGGTAACATACAAAGAACTAGGAGAGCTTATTCTGACTCAGGGTCATTAGCTAAAGGACTTTAAACTTTGGGGAAGAAACTCTTTTCATCCTTTGACCCTTATCAGAAAACGGAGGAAAATCTTAGCAAAGCAGGTTTCACAAGATTTTATGCATTCTTTCTTAGGCCTGATCACCCCAGGGGACTTCCTGTTCCTGCCCAGAGCTGCACCACTCTCCCACATTGTTTCAGGCTTATGTCAGGCAGGTGAAGTAAGGCAGCCAAGATTAGGAGACTTGTCTAAGACAGAATGAGACTCGGGCTAGGTCAGAACTGAGGGGTGAGGGTCCATCACCCCTTTTTTCTATGGCTCCCCAAGTCCTTCCCTGAGGGCCCCTTCATGACCATGCCTGTCTTAGGTCATCCCTCCCTTGAGGAATGTCATTGGCTGGCTGACAGGTCATCCAAGGGAAGCCAAGCAGGGTGAAATAAAGGCAGCAGCAGTGGCGCCCTGCCAGAGAGAAGCTTTGTCTCCTTAGTGGCTTGTGATTGCAAGGTCTCTCACTCAGCCTTAGCCACAGGGGATTACAGCTTCTGAAACCAGGCAGGGTGGTTCCCAACAATCCCTCTTCTAGTCTCTCAGATTCCTCCTCACTTGATATCCTTTCCAATATGCAATC